CGAAAAGCCAAGCACGATCAAGCATAACCTGGCTGGATCCAGTGATCGCCAGGCGCGACGGTGGCCAAGAGGTGCAGCAAAGCGCATCGTCTCTCGACATTCGTCGTGGCCTTCATCGCTGGCTTTAAGGCCAGCTGATAGATGAATAAGCCTTATCACGTCTGGATGACATGTCATGACTGAAATGGATGATCCGTGACTTATTGGCGACACGTTGGCGTCGGCAAATTCCTGGAACCGGGTCTCGTCCCATCATCTATCCGGGCATATCGCGAGACATATCCCGACTTCCTTGCCTGAAGAATGGGATTCTTCGGGGTTACAAGCTGCACTATTCTCGTATCAGTCTCTTCTCTACGTCGTCCTCGGAATTAATCTGAAATCGAAAGCTAACTTGCCGCACGCTGAGATGATGTGCATCACTGCCTTCCACCGTTCGAAGTTGGGACAAGCGTCTCAAGTATTGCTTGAAGGTTCTCTTGGTTACGAGCGATTAACCCTTTGAACTCAGAAAATGACATATTGGTTTCGACGCAACCCGAGGCGAGTTGGCATTTTCTTCGCTGCTCTCAGACCTTCACACATCCGGCCATCTTCTGATGTTGTCGGATTTGACGGTCTCGTTGTTGGATGGTCGAGCCGATGCCTTCCGGGATCGCGAAGAATCCGTTCGTTCGCCAAACTTAAAGATGTCCTTGCTCCGGACCGTCAGCAGGAAGTCATCGCCGAATTGCCCATCAGAGTGGCTCTATTAGGCGACTTTGAAGCAAGATCGTTCAGCAGACTTGCGACAAGCGAAGTTGTCGAGACTAGTACCTATCCAGAAATGGCATACACGATGACGGTCAAATAACGAACGCAAATGTCATTGAAGGATTGTCCCAGAGGCTCGCAAAAGCAAAGCTGCAGAAGGGCAGGTTATAAACTCTTCGGGCCGTCGGCGGGCTTTATACGTATGCGAGTGTCAGCAGTGGGACTTGGCAGACTCAGAAGTTCTTACCGAAGTCCCCTCGGCAAGCAGTTCAACGGCCTACGGTAAGGTAGATAAATATTCTCATTCACGTCAGGCTGACTATCGATGCAGAAAAGTGCTACACGTTCGCCGGCAGTGCGGCGAGCGTGTAAGCCCCTGCAAATCGCTGGTAGCTCGGGGTGATCGTTTACTGCTCACCCAGTGAGGCAAGACTTCTAGGGTTTCCCCCCTGTTAGATGTTGGCTATGGCCGATTCATCGATCATGAATTGATCATCTGGGTCACTCTCAGTAGCGTGGAGCTTATGCGACCTCTCGTCAAAGTCTCACGACAACATCAACCACCCCGCCAAGACTTTCCGGAAGGATTTCGCAAGTTCTGCTTGGCCGTGTCATAGGGCTGAGAAGCTTGAGCTCAAACCATCACCTCAGCCGCTAGCTGTGCTCTGACGGATGTCATCTGTCCAATCAATCGTTGCTTTTGGAAGTCATCGTATAGCAAGCCAATAGCTTGCCACAAAACTATTTGCCAAACGGATCCTGCGGCTCTGGCTGGCTTCGAAAGTCGCTCTGTCCAGGGTTCTGAATCCTCCCGTCCTCCATGTCTCTGCGGAACTATGGCTGCCACGAGTCTGCCTTCAACCTCGATTTCAGTAAAAATCAACGACTTTGTCGTATCTTCGTCAGATTCTGACTACTCACCGCTGAATCCTCACAATATGACCCACACAGCGACATGGACAACATCACGCAAACAGTTCGCAAGACAGAGCGAATTACCAGTAAGAAGAAGTTCTCAGAAGAAAGGGGTGTGTAAGCAGCAAGGCAGCTGACATGCGTGCAGTCACGTATCCATCCATCCACCATGGCGCATCCCACGCGCGGGGATCCATCCGCGCGCGGCGTTGACAGCTTGAGTCTTCTCACGATCTCACTCACTTCGGTGCCTCGTTGTCCTTATCTCGCCAAATAAGACTGCTGTCATGCACGACAGACGCCAGCGCGTCCATCAATCGACAAGACCGTCCACCCACACCCCTTTCGTTTCACCAACCCTTTCCCTCGTCCGTGTTCAACCACTCTCACTTGCTCTTTCTCCAAAAAAACCCACAGTGGGCTTGCTGATCAAGATCCTACACGCCACCACCAACCGACTTGCAGTCAACGTGATGTGTTGCGGCAGCCGCTGACTTGGTTGAGGTTCGAATACGACAGGCAACGTCTTTGGGCGTGAGACCCCACACGTTCTATAGCCACGACGGAGACATCGTCTCATCTGCATCTTGGGTTCGCATCGGCAGAAATCAGAGATATGCCCTAGACACGGAGCCGCATTTCTGCGGCTCGAGCGGTCTCGGGTACCGTAGCGGCATCTGTGGACTATTCATAATCTGTACGGAAAGGGTTAACATTCCTTTACCGAGTCTACCAAAGGACTTACGTCTACCAATACTCTCTCTTGGGACACTCGAAACCCGAGAGCACGAGAACAGGGACAAACAACCAAAGACCTTATTTTCCTTGCTTCCAAGACCGCTCTAGCCCGGTGGAGGGTAGGATCCTCTGGAATGTCCCGAGTATGACGTGAGATCGTTGGGAGTAGAGGGGGTGGAACGGCCACATCATTCACAAGGAGGGGGACAGGGGTTTTAGAGTTGGAGATGATCCATCAAGTCCAGGTACAACTGCGACACTACGGCGCGGAGAAGGATCCTTCGTTCTCACCCGCTAAGAATGCGGTGGAAGGTGTTGTCGGTTGCGGCCCTGCCAACGCCAACAAACTGACGATCCCCTCCTTCACGATCCTGCCGCGGGCAGACAGAGGTAGTCATGCAGACAATCGTCAAATGGCAACTGGGAGCAACCTGGGGCTTGTCGGTTTCTCGGTCCCGAATGCGTTCGTCCGTCTTTCGCACAGCAGGCCTCATTCGGCATGGCTCCTGGGTGAAGCAGATGAAGGATGAGGCAAGGAGAGGGGTTAAGTAATATTCTCCGATTATCTGACGGCCCGTGTCTGGTATCCCGGCGGAAGGAATGGACGCTTTTATTGAGAGCGTACACCAGGTCAACACAGCGGACTACCTCAAGCGGGCCGCAAAGAAGGAGACGGCCGTTTACTGCAATCGGCATCGTCTTGGCTCTCATGATGGGTCGTTTTCAAGTCGGACCGGGGACTTGCGGCGAGAAAGGTCAGCACCATGGCTTGTATGAAGAGGGGCCGTCTTTCAGTCATCCTCCTCCTACTCGAAAACGCCCTCTGACCTGTCCGGTTCTTGGCAGAAGCGGTAAAAGCATCTCCACTTGCCCTCAACAAAAGGCTTTGGTATTTTGAGAATGCAGGCACAGCGGCGGAAGCAGTGGGAACGGCAGAGCCAGCGTGGATAGCATTCACCGCTGTTGATCATAACCTCGAATAATCCTACCTATTTAGTCCAGGGAGCTGACACGACGCGACGCCGTTTCACACCTTGGGCACCCAGAGCAGCGCGCTCGCCAGTTTGAGGCACGCATCACATGGCCGAATCTGATATACTTCAAATGAGAAAGGAGGAGAAAAACAGCAAGGCCACCGCCAAGCGCAGTCGGGCGGTCCAACGTGAGACTCACGCCGCGGCGAAGATGACGAGGTTTTATGACAGCCTTCCCGCTCGTGACGCTTATCACAAGCTTATCCTCAAACGCAACGAGGCTGGCTGGCACGGCCGTCATGAGTTGCGTATCATGGAAACATGAGACCGAAACTGAACGGAAGCTGTCTATTGGTATATTGGCGAGGTTGCTGATGCCGACAGCTCAAGTCGGCAGCAGCTGCCTTGTCTACATGAGTCGGGAATGAGACCGCCTTGTGTCAATGACGGCGGCAGCATCTGCTGGTATCATTCACCGAGTGAAGACACCCGCCGATGATTGAAGCCTTGCGCAGAAGTCAACTCTAATTTCTCCTACTTCATTTTTGTTTCTGTTTGTCTTTTCTGCTTGACCCTTCCTCCAGTGGCCGGTCACAGATGTCAAAACGATTGACCTATGAGAAGGGGGGTGAGTCGAATCACCCCGCCATCGAGCCAAGGCGAAGGAGTCGTAGAGCTCACTCACTCCGAGGTCATCACGTATGCTGCTGCCTTGCGAGAGAGAGGGGGGAAAAGGGACTTTGGTTCGGCTGCCGGGCCACTTGGAGCATATTCGCGTTACATCAGCGGCCAAGCGAGCGGGAGGCCGTGAATCCCATCCTGATGCAGATTGTCGCCTTGCGAGTGAGCGATGGCTGATCTGCGGTTCGGGCTGAGACTGCATTCAAGCGCTGAGGGTAGCTTAGGCGGCCATGGGATGTACTTTGCAAAATGTCCAAAGATTTGCTTGTTCGCGGATGCGAAGAAGGAGCTAGACTCCCCCCATCGCATCACTCCAGGCTCTTCTCTACTCCGCACTCAACTTACACACGAGATTACCAACAGACTTTGCCTTCAAAACATCTCGAGATACATACATACACACCTGCTTGCTTAACAGACTAGTTCCCAGCTCCCAACATTGAGCGGGAACCTTGGCTTATCAAACACACAAAACTACCTTAAGGAAAGGGAAAGAAAGAAAAACATGTATCGTCATAAGCGTCATTATGCGTAAAGATTGCAAGGAAATGAGTTCGAAAACAAACAAGGAAAAACAGGTGCCCGATGCCTTTTTTTGTCACCCCACATGCCCATGATCCCACTCTCCACTGCCCGAGAAAACGTCATTACACAAGGAAATTAAGTACAGGATATGCCAAACTCCCCGTGTGGCCGTGAGGCAGATGGGTAAACCAGATAGATGATAAAAAAGAGAAAGAAGGAAAAATATCATGGCATCCGGGATGCTCTAGACGAGACCCTGCCGAGTGAGATTGTGTGCCGCCCCGATTTTTGGTCTCCTACCGTGATGCTGAAGTCCTCTATCATCACTCTACGCGCCTAGGAAATGTCCACTTTCTTCATATAGACAACCCATATTAGTCCAACCTGAAGCCGAAGCTGGCGATGCGTGTGACCCTAGTAGCGTCTCTCTTCTGGCAGAACGTTCTCGCCATAGAAGCCGCCGTGGTGACCATCGTCGCAGGATGCCGCGCATGCGAGGCAAGCACCGCCTCCATACACTCTGGTGTGGCGTTTCCAACCGGCTCCGCTGCCGTCCAGCATCGAAATGATCTCGCCTTGCACCTTGATCTCGCGAAAGGTTCCATCCTCAAGGATCTCTCCATGAATCGGCGGCGGCCCTGGAAGCAGAGGTGATGTTGGCGGATATGACGAGGGAGAAAAGACAGTTCCATGTCCATCAGAAGCGGAACCCGTCGTGGTAGCTGGTATCCCAATAGGTAGAGTTTTGGTGTAAGACCGCCTACGAGGCGTCGGTGACGACCTCGTAGTCTGAATGTTTTGCGTCGCCGTTGTCGTCGCCATCTCAGTCTCAGTCTCAGTCTCTGTGGACGACATGTAGTCTGGGTTGGGCTGCTCAAAGAAAGATGCATCGAGTTCCGAGGTGAAGCCGGTGAAACTCCTCCTGCGATCATCGTACGTGAAAACAGACGGGGATAGCTCTGGGGGCGTAAGCGGAGGCGGGGGCGGCGGCCTCGACATCATTAGTCTTGTCGATGTAAGGCCTGAAAGCTTTCCCGGGCCGAACATGCTGCCAGGTGACGGCGTACGCTCACGACCTTCATTATCCTTACCCGCGCCTGCGTCTTTCGCATTCTCCGTCGAGAGGCTCGAAAATGGGCCTGTTTTCCTGCTGAACCCATCCTCCGCAGTTGCGGTATTACTGCTGACTCCACGTGACTTCTCCTCCATGGGCCAGATCCTATCGTGGAAGAAGTGATGGTGGAGACTTTGCTGATTGACCAAGTGGCTTAGATCGTCATCAACTTGCCCGTCTCGGTGAGCCTGGCTAGTATTTCCGTTTCCTGATTTTGACTTGGACATGGCATGAACCACGAGGCGGAAGATGGCAAGAAGGCCTAAGATGGCGAGACCGGCGCATATATGAGAAGCTGAGAAGAGATGGTAAGAGCTGATGGTCGACAACGGCTGCTCAACAGCCAGCTCAGCATGCGTGACGGCAGGCATGGCTGCTTAAAGGGTCGATTATGGTAAGTGATTAGGTTTGGTTGGTGGTCGTATTGGGGGTCGCCTCTCTTCTGGCTGAGGTAGAGGTACCTCCTCAGCACGCTTGGGATGCGGTGTGGTGGCACGTCTGGGGTATGCCTGTGTGTCCGGCGACCAGGCCAAGACCTAACGGTGGCTTGCGAGTAATGAAAAGGCGCTGCTGGACATAAGCGACTAGGGGGTTGGGATGGTGGGCCTCGGCCGCCGCATCTGCCGTAAGTCGGGTGGGAAAGGTGCCGAGTAAAGCTCCGGTTTGGACCGAATGCTTTTGGGTATTTCAGAGGGCGAGTGACCGGGAGGCGAGTGGGAAAAAGCCGAAGAAAAGAAAGCAAGGGAGAGAGGGTTGCCGGGTTCTATATGGCCGAAAGGTGTAAGTCTTTGATCGTGCTGAAGTGGATGCCGCGCGCTAGGGGGCGAGGCTCAGTCTGTGCCGCGAGCTCTGAAACCCATGGGTAAAGTTGAAAATGGAGGTTCCAGCGTCGCGGCGAGCGGTTGCACCCAGTAATTGTAGTAAACGACTGACTTACCACAAAGCGGCTACCAAAGTTCCCTGGGGTTGCGTAGTGAAGTGAGTCGAGGTCAGGTTCCGCGCTTGGCAAATGCAGGTCGCAGTAGTAGGAGGATGAGACAACAGGTCGTTTTTGTTTTTGTGCGCAACGCTGTCTAGATTACAAAGGCTTTGTTTGTCTGTCAGCAACGGTGACAGATTCCTTTGTGCCCGGGGACAATCCAACAAATAAATGAGGATTGGGAGACGGGGCTGGTGGCAGACGTCAAGGGGACGGGAGCTGTGGTGGGGTGGAAGGATTGCGGACAGAATGGGAAGGATACTGTATCATATATATAGACATGGTGTCGATGCGCCATGTCGCGGGAGACGAGGCACGATGGAGTTGCGATGCCATCTGCTTCCGAGTTGGTCTTGCAAGATCTGGCCCGGCAGGGAACTGGCTGCCAGAAGGAATGAGATAATAGACCAAATGAAGGGGTTCGAGGCCACCATGGGAGGGTGTGCGGCGAAGGGGAGGTGTGTATGAGTTGACGGGCAGCAAGCATCCTGACCTTGGCTTGGCTTGCGCGGAATAAAGGTGAGCCCTGAGTTCCCGTTTTCAGTGCGCCGTCTTCATCCTCAGTCAGCCTCTCTCTGTCTTTTGAAATTAGCATTAGGCGAGAGCCCGGGGCAGGCCAATGGCGCTAGTCAGGGCCCATTAGATGCCCAAGTTCAGTCATCAGTCACGATGGCGACTACGCTGGCCTCGTTGTTTCCATGCTTGTTTTTGCTGCAAGGCGGCGGTTGTAGAGGTGTGCAGATAACCACTTCCACTGGCTGTCTTTAGGGCTGGAGACGCTTCAATGTGAAGCAGTGTTGCAGAAGCGGGCGTGAATGGGGTGGCCCATGGGCGCGTCCGCAGGAACAAGGTGGGGAAGAGACCCGGGCGAAGAAGACGCCATGATACTCTGAAGATGCGGTCATCATGTAGGTGTAAGTTGGAAGGCGATTGACCTCGCTTCCTGGGTTTGGTCGAGAAACGCTGTTGGAACCCTACGCCGCACACTTCCCGTCTGCGCGGACGGCCTGGAGAACAGTTCCTGTCAGCACCAACAAGCCTGGTAATGGCAATGTAATGCGCCCGAACGCGCTTCTGATAAGGACAGGTTTCTCTGAGTGGGACGGAGAACGAACGAAACTCCAATTCAGGCGGTGTAGAAATCCCATGTGTTTGACCATAGATTTGACAGGCAGCCGCAGATTACGCCTTGGATTGGAACGGCTCGAACTCTTTTTTTTTTTTTCCTTTCTTGCTGGCTATTGTTGGCAGGTTGGGACGGACAACGGACGGCGACATTTGGGGTCGATTTTTTTTCTCTCGAAACCGCGTCAGGGGATCCCTGTCGTTCAGCCCAACAGGATGTTCACAGTTCCTGCGAATGGACCGTACGTGGGCGACCGCAGCACAGGGTACCGCTCCAGACGACCATACCAGCTGGGCTGGTCCCCCGGCCTTGGTCCTAGTGTCAGTCGGCGCAACGTGGAGTCTCGGTGGCCGATCCACCGTAAGAGACGCGCATCCTGCTTCGCCGGGCTCTAGTATGACGAAGCACTGCGCAAGCTGCAACGGAGAATAGCAACATGGCAAATAGTAGCCAATGCCACGGAGGCTCCCAGTGGACAGACAGAGCAAGCTGAACTCCAGCGCATATGGACAGAATCCGAGTCCGTGTCTCGCGAGTCGAGGACGGAGGCGCGCGCGCGTGGCAGGTGGTTCAAATGACAGGCAGCTGTAGCTGGGCAACTGGACTGGGACATTGCTGACCTATCCACCTCGTAGGGAATACAGTCCACAGTCCACAGTGGCGGCTCGGCGACTTGCTTTATTGTCGTTGTATTCGGCTGATGGCCGTGCCGTGGGGTTAGGGTCCTTGTACGGGGGATAGGGACGCTTCGAGAGCAGATGACCCGTCAAGCGTCAAGCGGTCGCAAAAGCAAGCGCAAAAGACATCAGGGACCTGGGAGGACTCTCGCAAAAAAACAGTTAGCGTGGGCGAGTGGAACGGGGGGGAGCTCCTTGGTAACCTGGTTCAGCTGAGGTGAGCCCGCCCTACAGCCACGCCATCTGGGATCCCTGCCTTGTCTTGCTTGTCTAGTGTCGCAGAGGCGGGTGCCATGGCTGCGAGCTTGTTCCTCTTCTAGGCCCTTTCCATCGAACGATTGGTTCATCAGCCAGCCCTGTGGTGTCGATCGATGTACCCCCCCTATTCAAGATGGTGCTCGTTGGGAGCATTGGATCCGTAAGGACCCGTGGGCGATCGTGATGCAAATGTGAAAGAGGCTGCAAGAATAAGATAGTGGCAGACGTGTGTAGAAAGGTGAGATCAAGTAGTTTCTGGCCGGGACATGTTTACCGTTGCTGCCGGATATGACATGTCGTCACTGGCAATCGGTTGCCGAAAATCGGGATGCCGAAGCAGGATGCGATGCGATGCGATGCGACGGACAAAGAACTCAGGACCGGTTCCGACCTGGAGTCTGCATGACATGGCGCATGAGCAAGTACCGGGAATTGGCAAGTGTGTAATGCGAGTGTGTGTGAGACGGTGACGGAGCGGCTGCGAGCTTCAGCTATTGACGTCTGGTGGGCGACAAGGCGCGCTTCACATGGAGGCCAAGAAACGAGTGGTAGGCGGATACGGAAGTGTAAGTCAGTGTACGGATAGGATCGGTGGATAAGGTAGGTACCCCGTACTGCAGGTGCAGGTGCAGGTTCAAAGTCGTTGGAGCGAGATGGACAGAGGAAGGAAACGATCGGCCTCGGCTGAGCAGAATGGGTGAAGGGCATCTGACAAGGCGTTTGAAAGGTGACTGCGGGTTGATTGACGAATGGTGAGTTCAAAGGAGTCTGCCCCAGGCCAGGCCACTGGCCAGAGACGGAGTGGTGTGCAATGGATCGAGAAGAGGCCAGGACTGGTTGTGGTGGAGTGGCTTATTGGTTGGCTGGGCCAAGTTGGCGATGCATCAAGTCCTTTTTTTTTCAGCTGCCTCTCGAACCTCAGTGGTCTCTCATTCGCTGTTGTAAGGCCGGCAGTGGAAACCTCGGAATGCTATGCAGCTGGGGTGCACCTTCTCCTTACCTCCTTCCCTCCTTCCTTGCTGCCCGTTAGGCTCCCAGGTCGAGTCGTGGTCTGTTCTTTCCCCATGCGAATCCATTCGTTCCTTCCTTCCCCTTTGCCAAACTCGCCTGCCTTCCTGCCTGGGTACGAATACGCAAGGTAAGGTAATTGATGGGCAGGTGCAGCAGCAGCAGCAGCAGCAGGAAGGAGCAAGAAGTGAAGTGCAGATGCCCAATTAGGAGGGGGCCACCCCAAGATGGAATGCGCTCCGTCCAATCTTGAGTCAAGGAGCTGCAGACGATCACCCGCTGTAAGGTATTTTCAGCCCAGATGACCTGCATCTAAGGTATCTGCTTCCTACCTTAGACATCCGTATGGAACATGAGGAATGAGGAACGGGGAATGCTCCTGCCTGTCTCGTCTAGACCTGACTTGCCTTGCGTGTGTTGCCGCTGCCGCTGCCGCCCCCGCGGCGACCATCGTGCTTGCCAAAATTGGTTGTGATCTGTGAATCGCAACAAGGAAGTCCCTTCCTGCTGGTCCTCCGTGGTTACCGTACCCCAGAACCAAAGCACCATCGCCAGCAAGACATTCTTTTCCGACGACACCTCGTCGGACTCTGGCAACTGACAACGACCATCACCTCCATTTGCATCGACAGAATACATTGCCCGCCCCTACGGCCGACCACTCCCCATCTCTCAAGCCAATTCAGCGGCCGCAGACACCCGACACAGCCACAAACCCCGACCCGCCGCCTCCAATCATCATTCATCTTCTAATCCTAGGGGCCGACCTATCGCTTGCCGCTTGCTGCTTGCCACAGACAGTATGCCCCTCGCTCCCTGGGAAAACTGGGAAAACAT